GGCTTCATCCAGAAGGTTGTCCGGAAGGATGTTTGGCTGTCTGGTCTAATTAGCATATTATGCTGCCTTTATTATAGATTCTCAGGCCATACAAAATTATCAACTTAAACATTAGCCTGCTATATTTGGTCAAACATTTAATTACCTCACCCCCAATGCCTCGGCAGGGCCAAACTAAATGATTTCACTGGCCTTATATGGCCCTTGGGCCAGACATTTCCCACTCCTGAAAATGGATGTACTACGCACCCACATACGTATGTTTTCTTTGGAGAATGTTTTAAAATATTTTTAATAGAATATTGCTATACTCTATAAACCTAGAGCTGTATTGTTGATTAATATGTAACATGGTAAAAAATGTAAGCAAACCAGTGGAAGGTGAAAAATGAGGCTATAAATGATTAAAAAGTCAGTTGGCAGTATTATTGTAGAAATGTCTTTTAAAAATAATCTACCTCTTAGAATGGTCAGCTAAAAGAAAAAGTAGTAAAATTTTGCTAAGGTAGGCTACTTTCCTGGCTCCCCTTCTTCACTTTCCCCTGTAGTCTTCTTCATTGATGGACCACAGTAATTCTTAGCAGAGTGATGCGCTGCCACTTCACTACAGGTTTCTCTACAGGGAAGCCAGGCTGGGTCAACTGTAGTTTTGGGACTTTGGATGCTGGGAATATTTCTTTTCCTCTGATGTCTCTCCTTAGAGAATGACCTTTGCGATTAATGGATGGAGGCAGTAAAAAAGAATAGTTCCTCAGAACTGACATTGTATGATGGTCATTTCTGTTTCTTATATGACTTATTAGGACATATTCCAGTTTAACTTCATTTATAAATTAGATTTAAATTAAATCCATCTATATATATAAAAGGCTAATATGCAAAGTGAACCTGTGGGAGATAGACCAGGAGACCGGGAGTTCTATTGCTTGCTTTGACGTGCGCTGATCACCAGGGGGTGGCGCAGAACAAAGGAAGGCCCCGGCCGGCATCTGGGGAAGGGAGGCCCCAGCTGTCATCCAGAAGGCCCCAATTGGCCCTGATCACCAGCCAGGCCTAGAGACCCTACCCATGCACGAATTTCATGCACTGGGCATCTAGTTTATAAATAAATTTGTTTATAAATTACCAATAATTTATTAGTGTCATTCTATGGTATTACTCGTGCTTTCATTATGAATTAATTGTTTAATCAGAGCACTTTCCTTTTACACCCACCCCCCCATGTGTCAGGGAAAATTAACTCATTGGCACCTACAGGCAGGGTTCAGTGCACATCTGGCACTGGCAGTTATGCTGATAGTCTCAAGAGCTAATCCTCCACTTGCCTCATAGAACTTTAACATATATATTATATATATACACACACACATACATACACATACACACACACATTTATACACATATACATATACATATACATATACATCCTGATTCAGGTAGGGAGGTTAAAACTTAAAAATGGATAATAAAGTTATAGTGTTAGGGTTAACTTTTCACTACCAGGAAAATTTAATAAGTTACTGGTCTAAAGTTATAAATATGAGTTGTATTTATGCAGTCTTGTAACACATTAATTTGATATCTAGAGTGATAGATTGACTTTTTACTCCCATGATTCAGATGAAAATGCAGAATGATTGTGTGGCTTTGGGTTTTAGAACTGTCTTTTCTTACTCGTAGATGATGAAACTTTGTTTTTGAAATGTAGGAGAGTATAAGTTTAAATCATTTATTTGTTTGTGTTCCACAACTACCACTTTGTAATGGTACAGAAAAAAATGTTTAATTTTTGCTTCTTCATAAATTACATTGTTTAGGCTGTTGACATGGTTCAGTTTCTCTTATTAACATACTTAAAATCTTCTGAAGATTGAAAGCATCTTAAAACTTGGGTTATTTCAATGCATTTGTAATTATTAGAATATGTTATAACAATTGATTTTTTAACAATTGAAATTTTATAGATAATCATACATTGATTTTTTTAGGCCATATGGTCCAAAACAGTGTTTTACAATCTAAAATTGATTACTTTATAAAGGAATAATCCTTAGTATTCTTCCTGTTTAACCTTGTGAATTAGGAAAGAACATACATTGGTATTACTTAAGCGTCTGAGCAACAGCTACATTTAAACTGAACAAGATGCAAATTAGAATCAGGATACTTCCATTGTAATTTATTTACTATTTATCAACTTGGCTTTATTAAATAATTACAAGATTTTATATAAAAGCATTACGCATTGTATAGTTCTTAGATAAAGATATAGGAATTTTAATAAGTGATCTGACTTTCTGCTAAATGCCTGAAACATGATTATGTAGGAAAGCTTTTCTGTTTGATTTTTTTTTTTTCTCATGTCATTGCAACCCAGTTGATCATAAGAATTGGGTCAGGCTGCCAGCAACTTAGGTTTGTGAAGGGAATGGAACAGCTTTTTGAGGGACAAAGAGAAATGAAATCACTTTCAATGAAAGCAAGATGCCTCATTATAGTCACCAACAGCAGTTATTGACAGCTACACTTCCTATTAACAAGGAGCATTTAACTAAGAGTTTGGCTGTTGGATCTTTGGACTTGATCTAATTTGCTAGCATTAATTAGTTTCTTTTGAGCACAGACACTTGGTGCTCACAGCTATAGATTTGGAGGGCTAATTAGGATAGAAAATTGAACAGAATGGGGTAAGGCATTAACCTTCAACCATTACCAGCTGGGACACTGATAAAGACCACAGAGTCCAAATGCTCCCTATTGATGTGAAGAGTACCCTAATGAATATCAATTTCAGCCAGCTTGCTATATTCTTACTAGCTTTCTCTTCATTATAAAATTTAACCAGCTTCCATGATACCTTCATTATCTATATATACACTATTGTTTTTCATTATACACTGATTTAGTCTGAGTTGCACATTTCACCTTATGTTTTAAACATAAAATTGATCTTTAGTAGCTGATAATATTTAGAATATCTCATCAGTACAATAAAATTTAACTTTTATCTACAATGACATGATTCTAATTCTACATTGAATTTTTATAGTCTCCACCTCTCAAAAGCCAAAAAAGAAGTCCCCTTCCACCAAGCATGATGGTGGAATCTTTTTTTTTTCTTGGATCTGAGAGTTAACAACTTGTGGTTGATGACCTTTGGAGGTTACTTTCCACTCTGTGACTTTTTCCATGTGTGTGTGTTTTTTAAAAAATATTTTTATTGATTTCAGAGAGGGAGAGAGAGATCGAAACATCAATGATGAGGGAGAATCATCGATTGGCTGTCTCCTGCATGCCCCACACCAGGATTGAGCCCAAAACCTGGGCATGTGCCCCCGACCGGAATTGAACCAGGGACCCCCCCCAGTCCTCAGGCCGACACTATCCACTACGCCAAACCAGTCATGGATCCCATGTGTTTTGACACTTTGCTAACTTAATGATTTATATTTTCTATGTTAGTAATATTTTAAAAATATTTTTTGTCATGTATATTGGTAAATTATGCATTCTAATAATTATAAATTTCACTTCTGGAAATAGAGCCTCCATTAAGAGAGTCACTGAACTGCTGTATTTTGTAAAAGTTCCTCATTATATTTGCTTTTTTGGATTGCATAGTTGGCATCTGATATTGTCTCTATGCTGAAGAATGAAGTTTGTTTTAAAAATAATAAGAACCTTTTTTTTTTCTTTTGTGATGACAGATCAAGACCAAAAACGAACATTGTCATCAGGGATGGCCTGGAACTTTCTTTAACCTAGCTATATTCTCCTACTTACCTCCTTTGGGCCTTTTCATTGTTTTAATGTTTCTTTTATATCATTTTCTTCTGTTGCCATGTTATTGATCATCTGACCAATAGGTGGGGCTTGGTTCTAAAGGAATTATATATAATATAAGGAAGCAAGGATTATTTGGTTTTTTTTGAAACATCAAAGAGCTATAGTTAAATAATACAGAAGCTTGATAAAATGCCTACTCTTTTCTATCTGTCAGATACAACTGAAGTATGTTACATTTTGCTAAATTCCAAACATACATGAATAGACAAAAAAGAAAATCAAATTAAGAATGCTTAGGACAGTCTTTCAGAGGTTTGCAGGCAGAGAACTATCAAAAAATTATTAAAACAATTGGAGGCTATAAATGAGCAAAGTAATCTTCTCTCTGTGTTGCTTGAATCTGCTGAAGATTTCATTTGTTGTTTGAATTTAATTTGCATAAGGATATGCTGATTAGCCAATGGGAAGGGTAGCTCGTACGCCAATTACCATGTTTCTCTTTTATTAGTGTAGATAAGGAAGCAAGGATTATTTGGTTTTTTTTGAAACATCAAAGAGCTAT